GCCCCGCTCAGCGAGCAGAAGAGCCGCGGTCAGTTGGCTCCTGCTCTGGCCATGCCGCTGAGCCAGGGCAGGCGGGAGTCAGGCCCATGCGCGTTCTCTGCTTGGGCCGCTTTCACTTCTTTTTTGTTCACGAAGCAGAAAGCAACAGGCTGCTGACAGAGGAGGGCTCGCAGGTTTTCTGCCCAGTTCGGGGCAGATGGCGAGACACCCATCCCAAGGGACTCCCTGGTACGGCAGGATTAAAGCATGTGCTGGAGCAGGATGAGCTGAAGAGACAACCAGCTGAGCTGTTTGAAAAGTCTCTGCCCTAAACAAACTGCTCAGGCACCAGCAAATCTCGACACAGGCCAGGCCCCCTGCTTCATTCCTGTACTCTGACAAACCATTTCTGATGTTTAAACGCTACAACCCTTAGGAGCTTCCATCTCTTGTGCCACTAGAAGAATTGGAAGTAATTGGCAGAGCCTTGCAAAGAGGACTGTAGGAGGCCTCAGAAATACCAAAGCTCTAACACCTGCAGTGTTCCCTTCCTACCAGAGCAGCAAATAAAGCCATGAGCAGGCTCAAGACTGAAAACTGGTTAACAGCTGCAGGGCACTGGGTAGGTGGGGACCAGTGTGGCAATCCAAACCTGTTCACCAGAAAAGAGATTTTGCAAGGTCTCATCCAGGAAAGGAAAAAAATAAATTCCCAAACCAGGTGACAGATCCATTTCCAAGCTAATTTGAAAGGGCATCATCCAAACAGAGCAAAATTAAAACTCAACAGTGCAAAGAGGAATTGATTAAAACACAAATTCTCGTCTGGCTGAACCAGTCCAACACCTCCAGCATCTCCACACCCTCCCTGCACCCCTTTTCTTAGCTGAGAGTTCTGTGGGACACCTCAGAGTGACATGAGATCTGGCCTCTCTCCTATGAATGTTCCACTGGAAACTGTTCAGCTGACTTCCTTCCAAGATGCTAACGAGATTTACAATAGGCAAATCATGTACAATTAAAGGCGCTATGAGATCCCCCCAACCTATCACATACCATGGTTATCTGGTGTAGGAACATGCACACCCAAAGCTCAGTCTTTCCTCCACACTGCAGTGAGTCATTTTTTAAAAGCCAGAATTATAAAATTTCCACTGTTGCTCACAGCACAGGAAAAGAAGGAACAAGCTGAAGCAACCTTAGCTGACTTATAGATTATTCAATCTTATGCTAATGTTTTGTCTTATTTTACCCCTTTTCTTGTCCTAGGTAGTTCCAAAGCATAAGTTCGTCCTTGTGAAGTTTGATACACAATATCCATATGGCGAGAAACAAGATGAGTTTAAAAAGCTGGCAGAGAGCTCAGGCTCCAGTGAGGATCTTCTAGTGGCTGAAGTGGGGATATCAGGTGAGGAGCTCCAAACAGATGAATACAGTATGGGCTGGTGTGGAGAAGATAAAATTCCCTGCAATTCCTAATGAAAACAGGCTCTGAGATAATTCTGACATTGAGAAATGATCTGGGCTGGCCCTGCCAGACCAAGGCACCTGCTGGTGGCTGAGCTGGACCGTGGTGCCTCCCGCCAGGAGCGTAGGAGTGCTGCTTATCTCTTTTTGGCTGGTTAATGAAGCAAGTCAGCCCACGCTGCTAAACTGGCTGCCACCTTCCTTATTTGTAGCACTTTTTTTTTTTTTTTCCTTGCTAAAAGAAACATTTTTAGCCATTTCTAGGGAGCAGGCCTTAAAAAATCATGTTTTAGCCACAGGCGTGGTCAAACAAAGCAGATGTGGTATGATTAATTCATTGTAACAAACCCTCTGGTTTTGCTGGTGAAGCACTGAAAGTGGTTGTTGTGCCCTGGGCTGAGGTAACTTGATGTTCTTGTGATTTGCTTTAAGAGAAGAGCAGTGCAGAATGGGTCACTGTCACTTTACTTGCTTTTAGGTAGAATTAAGAATTTAAGCTTACAGGAATTGTCAAGCTGGGAAGTTTCACCCGCACTGACATCTCTAAACAAGCACAGATTTAGCTAAATACCATCATCGAAAGCTCTTAATGTTTTCTGTCCTCAAGAATAAATGCAACTTATGTAAAATGAGAAAACATCCTGTAGCTTGGCATGCTGTCAGAACTAAAACTAAGATCAGTGTACACGGTTTGCACGTAGATCAGGAAGAAAATCCATTTAAATGTAAAATCAGATAAAATCAATGGATAGAGCAAAACAAGGGCTATTCATTTCCTGTAAGGAGGACTAGGTTTGTATGTAGAGGTCCTGCCAGTGTCTTACACTATCACAGTCACAGCAAAGCAGTGCTAGAACCTTGTGTTTTTCTTTGGAAAACCTAAGGTTTGCCTTGCACAAATGAGTTCTGGGGTGTTTTTGTTTCAGTGTGTGGCATTGCCTGGCAAAGAGGTTATTAGGGCGTGTTTAAAATCTGGAGGCCAATATTTATCAGTTTGTGTAGGAAAGAATCCCAATGTATTATTTTTTTTCTTTTTATTACTGTGCTTTTCTGTGTTTCATTTTCTCATGACAGATTATGGCGATAAACTGAACACTGAGCTGGGAGAAAAGTACAAGCTGGATAAGGAGAAATTCCCTGTTTTTTACTTATTCCAAGATGGTGACTTTGACAATCCTTTACCTTACAGTGGCCAAATCAAGGCTGGGGCTATTCAGCGCTGGCTGAAGAGTAGTGGCATCTATCTGGGGATGCCAGGCTGCCTGAAAGAGTATGACATGCTGGCCAGCAAGTTTGTGAGCACCACTGAGAAATCAGAACGCCAGTCCCTCCTGAAAAGGGGGCAAGAGAGTCTAGGAAAAACAAAAGAAATAGAGAAGAAGTCAGCTGAGCAATACTTGAAAATTATGAGCAAGATACTGGAGCAGGGAGAAGAGTTTGCTGCTAATGAAGTCGTCCGAATCACAAAATTGATTGAGAAGAACAAGATGAGTGATGGAAAAAAGGAGGAGCTCCAGAAAAGCCTCAATATCCTTGCTTCTTTCCTGAAGAAGAATAGTGAAAAAGATGAGCTCTAATATGTTGGAGAACTTTGTACAAGCTGTGAAAAACACTGTCAAGAGTCCTAACCAGTTCTCCTAATACAAGCAAACTTCCCATTGACTTCAAGAGAGCAGCAGATTTCCTTCTGGTATTCTCAGTTTCAAAGACCAAGAGGAAGATACTCCTTAAAAACACAGTATTCTAAATGTTCAAAAGTCACCTTAAAGCAAGACGCCAGTATTGTGTAATACTATTCAATGACAGTGTTAAAGTAGACAAAAAAAAAAAAAAAAAGCACTGAATTGGCCTGAAGCACATTCCTGGTGTTTTTTACAGCTGTTCCCTGGCAAACAAATAATAAAATTCAGCCTCACGTTCAATCTTACATGTTGTAAAAGGTACAGATTGGGTGTCCCCCACACCCTCACCTTTCCCTGGTTTTAGTCCCCTTGGGTTTTATGCTCTTCAATCTCCCCTCCTGCTACCTTTTAGTTTCCCAAAAGGGCTCCTCTGAGTCTTGTTCTCCTTACCTGTTGTTGATAAAGAAACCTGGAGTTTCCTTTTCCTGCCTTCTTCAGTGGCTCCTGCCTCTGCTTGGGCATCAGCCAAACGCTGGCAGAATTACCAAGACAAGTCCTCTGCTTATCAGAACTTGCCCCTCATCTTCCGGCCAGAGCAGCCATTTCAGCATATTTTCTCCTGAAATCATTTGTAGGTACCCTGACAGAGCGACTGATTTGAGCTTTGAGCAAGGGCAGAGTCTCCTTGAGGTGCTATTACACTTAGACTTGCCTGTTGATGAGGTAAATTAGGGTGAGTTTTCTTATGGCTGAAGAGCACATGCGATGCCTGTGTGATTTCACACCTGAGCTTTGTTTCCCAGGTTCAAAATAAGGGTGAGACCAATGAGAATGTCTGAAAGTCTCAAGCCATAGTTAACAAAGTCTTTTCTCTGGCTTTGTCTTCAGAAGCAACTGGCATCATCAAACTAAAGCTTCAACAGCAGTTCGTTTTCAAATATTTTAAACTACTAAGTCTTGAAACAGGAAACAAAAGCACTCGTGTCCTTAAGAGCCCCATCTATGCTATTTTAATGGAGATACCTGGCCCAGGGATCAGTCCTCGAAACCTGGTCTTGCATGTGCTGTTCCTGCTGTGTGGAATCCAGGAGTGCCTGGGAGATGCTGAGCTCCTGGTCAGGGTTCTAGAGCTGAAACGACAAACCCCTGAGCATTTTACCTTCAGACTGTGGTTTTAGCTAAGCAAAACTGATTTCTGTGGGAGCTTTGCTGCCTTTTGAATACTGGGGTGGGTACGAGGAGCAGATCCTGCTGCAAGATAAAAATGTATTAATAACGCTGAAATAAAAACAAATGGTTCCAGCTGACACCTGCTTCTTAAAGCTGCTTTCTAGAGAAAACGCCGATGGTTTCGCGGTTAAGAGAGGGAGGACCCGCAGGGTGACGCCGCCTGGAAGCGCGAGGAATAAATAGCCCAGAGGGGAAAGGTTCAGCCAGAGCCGCGGGTGGGTGAGAGCCCGGCGCCCCCTCCCCGCCAGGAGGGGAGGAGGAAGGGCCTCAAAGCGGGGGAGCGATCAAAAATAAAACCCTGATGTGAAGTTTAACTGACATAGTTGATTTCATGAATCTTAAAACAGTTACTGCATTACTTTATCTTGGAATTAAACATTTTTCCTTTTAAAATACAGTTAACAGACAACAGACCACTGATTTCAGACAGGTAGGTTCTGCTTTAAAAATTGGTCTAGTTTATAAAAAAAGGTAACCCCCATTCTATGTTATTATTTTAAAATATAGTTAACCATATGTAGATTTGAGGCACCTCTTTAAAGCTTATTTTTTAATAGAACATGGACAAGAATGAATAAAACCAAACAAGATGTCTGTGGCTAGCATGATACAGGAAACTCAGAGTAAGCAAATGAAAGGAATGTTTCCTGTGAGATTTCCAGAATTACTCAGATTGTATTTAAGGTGATAAGCCAAGTTTTATACTGTAGTTTAGGGAATCACTTTCCAAGAATGAATAGAATTATGCCTATGGCATTTAGTAAAAATCAATGTTGAAGGACAATAAAACCCCACAGCTAACACTTACAAAAATCTGTCTCTTTTGCTTCATTCTGTTACCCAGTTGCTTCCTTTTGTTACATGATGAAGATAGCTCTAAGCTGCAAGACATGAATAAACGAGAAAGTATCTTCAAACAGTGAAAGTTCCCAGTTGAATCTGTAGTAAACCCTAACATTCCAGGTATGGAATTTAATTTCTTTTAAACTTACTTCACTACTCAATAAAAAAGATGAAAGCCCTGCAAGCAAGTAAAGAGAAAAATTTACACAGGAGACACCTTCCTTATTTCTTTTAAACAAGGAGCTATTCTACTCAAAAAATAAAAGTTCTGAGTAAAGCAATCAAATTGATCTATCTGAAAAACACTTCCCTGAATCAAAGTCCCATTGAAAGTCCATATTTTAATAGCACAAAATCCATGACACAAAGCTCAGGCTTGGGTATCCTGTCATATGGAAGTAGAAATGCCTGGATCCTCTGGGCCAGAAGAAGGATTGAAGTATGTGGCACTGGTTTGCTTTGAGCTGCATTTAAATGCTATAACTGTAGAGGATACTCTCATCAAAGCAGAACATAAGCAATACATGTAAATCAGTGGTGAAGTCTACTCAAGTGCTACTTGGACCATATGCAGGTTTGCAGCAGTGATTCATACCAGACTGCCTGCTATTCTGTTTCTACAGGTCTGAAGTCTCTCCAGGTCCCTGCTGTGTTCTAATGTTTATAATGATCAGTTTAATATTTTTTGGATTTTGCTGACTAGGACTTTTTTTTTTTCCTCCCCAATTTGGGCACTAAAACTAGAATTAATAAACACTGATTGTCAAGAAAGCTTTCATAGCATTAGCCCTTTAAGCCAAGAGCATCTTGCTAGTATAAGGCAAATAAAATCCTACAGCAAGGTCGTGATCCACAGATGTTAAAGTGCTACTAATTTGTGTCATAAGAAACAATTTTTTCGCATAAAAAATTCCCTGTAATCATTTGGGATGAAAGCTCTTTACGGGCTAAATGACTTGGTTCAGTCAGTAATAAGAACAAAAATCGTGGAACTCATTATTAATGCTTTTTCATTTTTTCTCTAGGTTTTGTCTCACTGTTCAAATAGACTTTCAATAAAGTAACTTCAACTGTGACAAATAGCGGATTAATTCTTTGAGGAACTGCTATTAATTCAGCATTGAATGCCATGAGTTTACCCCTCTCCACAAGTTTTAACCACTTTTCTAAGATTTTGCTATACCCATAATGGGACTTAGGACAAAATTAAATCTCAGAGTAATTATCCCTATTAAGTAGTTGACTACCTCTGCTGCAAGTGAAAATGTTGAATACATCTGAGCATGCTGCATTTTAGCTGTTATCTATCTAGTCTTCCTGAGAACAAGACTTAACAGTTCAAATATGATTCAATGAACTGTGTAGATAGAACACTCCATCACTTTCAGAAGTACAGGTAGGAGAATAGGGATTTGCATGAATGTGCTGATGCTTTGAAGAAATGGAGGACTACTTTAATGTGTCCTTCACACAGCAGATGGTACGTGAAATCTGTTTCATGGTTGGTAAGCTTTGTAAAGGCTTGTAAAGATTTGTTGCCCACCACTTTAGCCACAAAATGAAGATATATACCCACACCAGAAGCACCAAAAATCAATTGTAATAGTGTGATCTCATTGCATAATTCAGGTTTTTCTCAAATCAAAGAAATACTCAGTTTCACTTAAGGCATGGGCTTTGAGATGACAATGAGGAATTTTTGCACCCAAAACCTGAAACTATGTTCATACTCCTCTGCAGTCTTATTTTACCAATAAAGAAGACATTAAAAAAAAAAAAAAAAAAAAAAAGAGAGAAACTACTTATTCCAGCGAGGCAGATAACGCTCCTGCTCCAACCTGTTCTTTGCTTTTCTCAGCGTTGTAGGTTCCAGCTCGATCATTGCTTACGCCGTCTTCCAAAACGCAGTGCGGTCCCCTGAGGTAAGGTCTGAGCCTCCCGCCCCCCGGTACCCAGGTCGGTACCTGGCAGGTGGGTCTCAGGTGCAGCACAGACCTGGAGGTCGGGCCGTGTGCTGGGTCGATGTGGTTAAACCTCGTTTAACAGCCGGGAGGCAAATGGGCTGGCCAAGAATTTGGCCTCCTTGTCTGCGATAGGAGTTGAAGGGACTAACCTTGAATCGCAGCCATAGAGGGAAAAGCAGATTCCTTAGCCCCGCGCGTTCTGCTGCTCCGGGAAAGTCCTCCGGCCGTTCTTTGGAACGGGGATTTGTTAGCGTGTCCTCCTGTGTGGGGCAAAACGCCTTCAGGGCTGAGGAGCTGTGAACAAAGCCGCTGAAGTGCAAATTGGAGATGCCCCTGAAGGAAATGCATTACAGGTGTTTGCTTTCGGGTATTCCTGAGTGTTTTTCCAGGCAGGTGTGCTGCTAAAACTGATACAACTCAAAGGTGCTGTGGTGTTCAGACAAAAAGAGATTGGGCTGAAAAGCAGTTTGTGGTGGGCTTTGCAGTGGGACTTTGGCTGTGCAGAAGAGCCACAAATGTTTCTAACACTGAAGCAGTGGGACTCGGGTGCAAACCTCCCTTGGGTGGGACTGTCCATGCATGCAATGCGGATTTGACAGGCTCTTGGTGTCCACATGCCATCCCTCTGACTGTCCTGGACTTGCTAGAGGCAGTGCACAGAGCTGAGCTGTGTGAAGCTAAGGTTTGTTGTTCAGGATTTGCGGATGTCATGGAGCCTGGTCTCTGGACCATGCAGATGATAGGTTACTGCTAAGAGCAGTAGGACAGTAGAGCTGGCAGCTATGATGTGACACAGCTGTGTTTGTACTTCCCTCCTCTTCAGTGGTTTGGGTTGGAAGGGACCTTAAAGACCATCTTGTTGCAAGAGGGGTTGGAGCTAGATACCTTTAAAGTCCCTTCCAACCAAAACCATTCTATGATTGTATGTATGATCCTGCGTTTGCTCTACAGCCCAGAGAACAGGACTTCCAGGGAATGCAGTCAGTTATCCCCAGAAAAGGAGGGCATGCAGTCAAACTAACACCTGATACATGGTTGGAGGAAGCTGGGTAGAGAGGAGAATGTGTGTCCAGGTTTGCAGGGAAAATGTGCACTTTTTACAACATGCAGAGCAGTCCTGCTCCTGGAAATGCTCTACCCAGCACATCAAGAATGAGCTGTGGAGATCTTCTTCCATTCCTAGGGAGGAATGAAGTCTGGGACTTCACCTTAGCGCTGGGATGGGAAACCTGCCTGAGCTTGTGCTGCACAAGGAGCACATCAAGTCTGCCTCACCACTTCTGCACCTGGAGAGCTCCAGACATGGTTCTCTCCTAGGGTCCTCCACTCTGGTGTGATATAGAGCTGAGTTTGGCAGGTGTCCTGGGGTGACTCAGCAGCCTCAGCCCATTTACTTCCATAGCCCAAACTCTGCATTACTCAGGAGCTCTTGTGCTGTTAATCATATGATGTGGCTGTGGCCACACTCTAGCTGCTTGTGAGCCACACACAGATAGATCCTTTCTGCTCAAGGGAGTCCAGATGTTCCTACTCAGATTATTTCTGCAAATCCGGATAGGAGGGATGGATACCAGCTGGACTGACTCTTCTGCATCAGGCTTCCAGGCTCTTCCAGGCTGCCAGGGGAGATCCTTTGTTGATGTTTCAAAAGCAGCAAAATCTGCAATAACTTCCCCATTGCCTTGCCCCTATGTTTCTGGTCTTAAGTGGAAATTTGTAAACAAAGGGATTGGAAGAGATCCATATCAAAACTTGCCACAGACAGCTTATTCCCTGAGTCATGAGGCTCCAGAGTGAAATGTTTAAAAATAAACAACTCTGGAGGCTGGGAGGACAGCAGTGTTAGAAACACTTCCCATCCTGCCCCCAGCCTAGGAAATCAAAGACTGCATTCTTGAAGCTTGTTTTCTGTCTTTAGGAGGTCAATAAAACTTCAGCCTGAGCTAAATCATTCAGAAGAGTTGATGGCAAGCAACGAACAAAGAATTTCCTCTGTCACGTCAACAGGTTCTGGGCAGGCAGATGTCCCTGGGCAATGGCCAGACAGAGCTAAATCAACATGTATGCTGCAGCCTGGCAGCTCATCTGAATCATTATGTCTTTGCATTCCCTTCCTCTATTTCATAAATACCATTTGTTGGGTTTTTGGTTGTTGTTTTTTTTCTTCTCCCTTTTGCAAGGAAGAACGATGCTGCCTTTAACTCACCACTATGTCACCTACTTCTTTATTTAGGTCTGTGCCAAAAGGGCTCCTCAACCAAACAGTGGTGCCCTGCTCCAAGGGCACTTGTTGCTAGAGAAAGGGGTCACCTGTTTGATTGCAAAAATTGTTTCTTTGCTTATTTTGGAGCTGCTTGGTTTTAACCTGCTGTGCTTGCAAACTGGACAATGTCCCCAGCCTGTTGTGCCCAGCACCAGCAAGGAGAAGCCTGGTTAAAAATGACATTTGTGAATGCAATGATGTACAAACTAGCTCCAGATATTCAGCAACTGCAGTTTGATTTCCCATGTTGCTGGGTGGGATGATACAAATACGAAAACTGGAGAGACAAGGATGTTGGAGGAGAAATCCTGCAGAAAGTAGAGGACCCAGTGGGGGACCCAGGAAGGCACCAGGCAGATCTTCCTCCAACTGTGCACAAGGACAGATCTGGTTCCATCAGATCTACCTGACTGCTTACCAGTCTCACTCAGCTCTTTCTCATGGCTCACAGGAACAAGACAAGGATCACACAATGTGATGGGTGGCAACCATTTACTTAAAGGACAATAATGAGGCAAATCTCACCAAAAGCTCAGTCCCATGAAAATTAAAATGGTCTCCTGAAATGTTTCCATGCTGAGTTCAGCATTGTAATTTCCTGCAGGGAAAAAATAATTTTTAAAAGGCCATAATTTCCCTTCCAGGATGCTGAAAATTAGGTACAAAAGGCTACAATTAAGAATCTAGATAATTAGGCTGCTTTTCCAGAGTGTTTGCTCTCCCACTAACAACAAAAATGTTGGCTAGAATTTTGCACAAATGTTTTCCTACAGTGTTTACAGTCCTTTTGGCCAGGGCATGCAAACTGGAAATGGGCTGGAAACTGCCCATTAGAGGAGAGGCAGCTCTGTCCCAGCAAGACACAGTCTGCAGCAGGGAGACTCCTAGTGAAAATTAATCTGGCATGTAAGATAGATTCAGCCTTAGTCACCAGCTGAAGTTATTTGAAACACACAGGAAAAATATCTGCTTTAAGTTATTTCAGACCTAAAGAAAGGTTTGTGTTTACCAAAAGTTTGATTTCTCTGTCAGCTGAGGTAAGAAATAACATCCCCTCTCCTTGCCAACCCGTCCTGTTCTGCAAAATTGGAACATTCTGCACCTTTGAGATATTTTCTGGTGATGAAGAGCTGATGCTGCTTTGGGGTCCTGGGGCAGAGAGGGTGGTTAAAGAGGGGTATCTGCATTGAAACAGCTCCTGAGAACAGGAATCAGCATGACTTTTGTGTGCAAGGAAAGCTGCCCTGCCAAAAGAGCTGTGGTGTCAGAGCATGTTTAGATGATGGGCTAAATGTGGTTGTGGGAGCCTTGAGTCCATTGCTCAGACCTTCTAACCAGTTTCACTTTTCCCAGGTTCGCCCTCTTTTCTACCTGAGTCTCTCTGACCTATTTCTGGGCATGTGCTGGCTCGCTGGGGCCCTTCTCTACAGCACACCAACCTCCAAGCAGGACCTCATCTGCTATAACCTGCAAGCAACAGGACAAGTGAGTATCCTTGGCATCACCATTCATACTGTTACTTGCCACCCTTGGACCCAGTTGCCTCCCTGGTAATCAGAATGTGGTTGTGGGGGACTATTTGTAGACAGGTTTGGGCAGAGACTCCCCATGTGAACTTGACTTGTCAGATCTCTTTGCCTTGTGTGTAAAATGGAGGTAACGATGCTTGGGTTTAGGTAGGTCTGGTTTGTGTGAGGCAATAAGGAAGGCAAGCAGAGCATGGGATTCTGTGGTTGCTGCGTTTGGGTTGCTTGTGTAAAGTGAGTAGATGGATCTTAATCTATTTCCTGCTGGACCTGTGCCAACGATGAGCTCTGTGCCTCTCACAGGGCAGCTTCTCTATTCCTCTTCTTGCTTCCTCCTCATCCTGGGCAGGAAGAGACACATTCTGCGACTCTCTTGAGCTCAGATTCACAACATGACTCATATAAACAGCCTGTGCTGACCTGGCCCCATCCTCAAACAATCCCAAGGATGCTGAGGGGCTGCTCTTTCTTCGTGAGCTCAGCTCCATGCCCCAGTGATCTGGCTGCCTTCCAGCTGATTTTGTGTGCTGGAGACTAATTGGAGCAGAGTGAGTGAAATACCATTTTCCTGGCAGGTTGCTTTTATCTCCTCTAGTTCCCATTCCAGCACTGGCCTTTGCAAATCGCCCCTCTCAAAAAACCCTACAGTGTATGGCCAGGCTTGGGCCAGGGCAGTGGTTCACAAGCTGTCGTCTCTGGGCTTAACAATTTCTTTTTGAAGGACCCACAACAATATGGCTGGAAAGGGCAAGTGGCTGTCAGGAGCCTTGATGTGTGTGGTGTGGCCTTGGGCAACTCCCTGGGAGCGTGATGGCACACACAGATAGGAACTGAAAGGTCCTCTCTGAGCAGGAGCATCTGAGGCTGGAGAGGTTCTCCATGTACCTCAGGGAGGGCAGGGAAGGAGCGAGGGTATGGAATTGTTCATGCTGTTGTGTCAGGAGTCAGGGGCCTGCAGCCCAGGGCTGCTTCAACCTGTGGTTTTTATGAGTAAAACTGTAGTATTTGTGATGGCAAGAGCAGCTGATCTTGGGTTTCTCCAGCTCCCCTGTGCCCTTGTGGCAGCTCCACAATATGTTCACCTCGAGAGAGGAAATGGAGTAACTTGGGATGATGCAGAACAACCTCAAAGATGCTGCTACAAGGGAAGCTGGGAAGAACTTCAGAGAGGCTTTTCAGAGCTGCAAGCTGAGAGGAGTGTTTGGGACTGAAGGTGTTTCTGAGCTGTCTCACTTGCAGCTTTGCCTGGAGGTCAGTTCTTAGTGCTGCTGTGGTCTTGTTATGGCCTGGAGAGAAAAGAGGTTGCACTGCTAGAGGAGAATCAGTTTGGATATAGACAATGCACCATCATTTCTCAGGAGAGGCACTAGGACCATGCTATGCTCCTGTGCTTTTCTGGCTTCTTTCTGCCCTTTTCCAGCCTGTGGCCATGCTCCTCAGGGACACCAGCAAGGACTGGGGGCAAGGTGGGAGCTTTACCTTCACTCTAGGGCAGAGCTGGGCTTGGCCAAAGAATTGTCTTTGCCTTAGCCCTACAGTGGACACTCATGGTGTTGTGGTGGGGTGTGCAGGGTGCCGGCCACATCCCAACCTCAGCCACAGGTCTCTGGGCTCCTCTCCTGTGGGGTGGCAGAGCCAGATTGCCTCTGGCAAGAGCTGTCACTGCTGTTTGCTCTGGGAGAAATTAAAACAAACTGAGCTCTTGCCATAGCAACTGTGCCTGCAGGGTGCACGTGACAGAGTGCAGGACACCTCCTTACTGAGCCACCCCAGCAGTGCCTTGGTGTGGTAGGAACACCTCGTGCATAAGTAGGAGCCAGTAACAGATTTAACCATCAGCTTCTGCAGAGTGTAAGTGATCTGGAACCAAATGAAATGAGGGAATGGCTCCCGGCCCCATTCTGCCCATGCTGAGTGGAGAAGTCTCTCAAGGGTTGCATTCCTGGGTGTCTCATAAACACACACAGCTTCTGTGCACACAAATACCTCCAAGATGGAAAGTGCACATCATACAAGGGTGGGGACAGGCTCAGGACTGCTCAGCACTGGTGTTTGCAGATGGCAGCCCTTGGAGACACACCATAGTCCATGTGATGTGGTTGTCTCAAGGGATTGTCTTAGGAGCAGGACAGTATTTTATTCAGGCTGTTTACTATCCCTTTATCACCAGGGGCAGACATTGCAGAGGATGGAACTCCCCTAACATCCATAATGTGTCATACAGGGGAAGATTACTTTGTTTCTTGGACTTCCCTTGTTTCAGCCCCAGACTCTTGGTTGATATTCAATGTAAATACTGCTCCCTTCTGCTGCCCCTTGACTTTGTTCTTTCCTCCTCCCTGCCTTGCCTTTGAGTTACAATAATAATCTCCAGAATAGAGATTGTGGTTATAATTGCACAATTCCCCCACATTCTTCCAGTTCAGTTCCAGTGGCCTAATAATGTCCTGGCAGGCTCTGCTCATGCTGGTGAGCACAATGGGAAGCCACACAAGTGTTATAATGAGGGACTCTCACATCTCCCAGCCCCTGCTCTATCTCCTCATGGCAAGTGCTGCAGGACTGTTCCCAGCTCCAAAGCTGGGGTTCAGGAGAGCAGAACTCCCTTTGCTTTCTGCTGGCAGTGCTCACAAGTGGCTTTTGGTTCCCTCTTCCAAAAAAGAAGGCAGTGCTGACATTTTGAGAACCTCTCTAAGGCAGTCCCAAGTGCAAGAGAATGATCTTTGTGGACTGTTTTGATGACCTTCCCTGGAAGTAATTGAAAAAGGGCAACAAACCCTCATTAAACCTCATTTAATGAGCTGGAAAGTCACTGTAATGTTCCTGCTGCAACGTCACAGCCCCTTGGACTCGGCCTCTTGCATCAGCCAAGAATGTTTGCAACCTCAGTGGAGGAGACTAAATTTATTGAGTGCTACTTTCCTGGACTTAGATGATACCAGGGTGGCAAACTTGTGCTCCTCACCTCTTTGGCAAGGGATAGCAAATCCACAGAAAAAGTCACTTCACCAGCCCTTCCTCTTTGCCTTTGCCAGTGGAGCATGTGTTTCCTGTAACAAACACAGCACATGCATATACAGTGTGTGATTAGGCAATGCTGTTTATACTGCCTGGAGCAGCCTGGATTCAGAAACAAATGCAAGAAAGATTTGGGGTTTTTTTACAGGAAATTTGAGATATTTGGTCTCATCTCAAGCTGGAATCAAGGGCTGTGAAACTCTGTGGGAAGCAGTGTTCTGTATCTTCCCTCCTTTTTCCCATGGAGAGAAAAGAGTTATTGGGATGTTAACTCAGATATTCTCTGACCCCACTTTCCTCTTATTGTTTTCTGTTTCCGTGAATTCACTGAGTGGAGAGTTCATTATGTGAGAAGCAAGTCTAAGTGCTGCATCTGTGTTGTGTTTCATAATGGCTGCAGCATAGAGAGGGTCAAAGTGCTTTCAAACCGTTTCTTGCCAGGATTTAGGCCAAAAAAAAAGGAGCCAAGTCAAAGATTGGTATTTTTAAGGCTGTCTGCTGTCACTAGTTCTCCTGTCCTTAGCTTGGGGCCAAAGTGAAGCTGCCTTAATGGGGTCTAAGGTGGGAACCTCTCCTCTCCCTGGCTCTTCCCAGTTGGTGTCCCACTGTACCCCAGTAGATGTGAGCACAGGGGCTGTGCAGGGACCCTCCCCTTTGACACGACACTTTTCAGCATTTGCCTCTGGCTCACGGGCTTTGGGCTCATCAGTGATGAAGTAAAAGTGCTTCAGGAACTGCTAGTACTATTTTAGGACTGAAATCCTGTCTGTATTTCTCAGATATTCTACGTGGCCTCTTTCCTTTACACTGTCAACTACACCTGGCACCTGTACATGGACCTAAAGGTGAAATACAATCAAAACCTTTACCGGATGCCCCCCCAGGTGAGAAGGACTTACATGCAACAGTTGCTGGGTACCAAGGTCTGGCTGTGGGGTTGTGGTGGGATTTCCAGGGTCCATATATAATCCTTTATCTCACCACAAGGACTTTGAAGGCCCTTCTTCCCCACAACTGTATGAATTGGCATGTCCTGCCCACTGTGGTCAGCTGTAGGATCCCAATGAAAGGTTAGGCTTGCAAGACCAAAGCAGGCAAAGGCCCATGGCAGTGTGCACCTCAGAGCAGAGAAAGATCATGACTGGTATTGAAGTTCTTCCACAGGCAGAAAAACAGCAATTTGCACCAGCTGAGGAACTGGTTTGTTGGTGCCAATGCCTTCTGCCAGTGCATGGCAGAGGGGACAGGGGAGCAGAGAGTGCCTGGAACTGAGAACTGACAGTTTCTGTCCTTCCCAGGTGTCATACAGTGTTCAAGAGCGTCAGTAAGTGTTGTAAGAGCTTGAGGTAGGAGGTGTGATGGAAGTGAGGAGGCGATAAAAGGAGCAGTTGGCTCTATGAACAGTGGCCAGGCCTCACTTCATCATCACTTGGCCTTTACAAAAGCCCTTTGGGGAACCAATGTGATCGCTGGGAACTGAGGGAAAAGGACATAGTACTCAGAAAAACACACTCTGCGTTGCAGGCTAAACAAACACTTCACATAACTCATGACCAAGGTCTCTCCTTGTGGTTGTTTCATTCCTCACACCTGGCTCAAGAGCTGCTGTGACTGGTGTGTGCTCCTGATGCTGTGAGAGGACAGATTCCTTGTGCAGCTCTTCTCTCCAAAGTCATCAGCCACATTTCTGGATAGAGCTTTTCTCTTCCCCAGACATTAGCTGTGAGCAGCAACCTTTGTATCCCAGAAATTCCAATTGTCGGTTTGGGAGCAGCAGACTGGGCAGATCAGTCAATATTTCAAGGGCTCTTGTCCCTTCGTTTGGATCCACTTGTAGGACTGGTTTTCTTCTTGCTGGACTCTCATTCAAAAGAACATCTACCACTACAGCTGTGCCCATGTTGTGTTGGGTGACTGCATTGGCATCCGTGCTGGTGCGTGGATGCCAGCTGCCAAAGCACATTTCCTGGTGAGTAGAGACCAGGACACTCCAAATTGCCTACACTTCTTCACCAGAACATGAAGTCCCTGAAGAACAGGGCCAGGTGAAGTGAATAAGCAGTACAAATAAATGAGTAAGTTACACCAGAGAGCTTATCAAGTGTCTGCTCCTTGGCCTGTTCCAAGTTCCCTTCTCAAATCCTCCTGTCTTGAAGGAGGACAAGGCAGTGAGGAGGAGGAAACATCAGTTGCCTCTATTGCAAATCAGCACAGAGTGAGCTCACAGGTGTAGAATCAGTGTGAAGTAGAAACATTTCTGCTCAGTCTGGGGATTGATCAGTGTTTGAAGAGCTCTCAGCTGCTGAAGTTTTTCCTTGGAGTTGGTTCCTGTGAACCAGTGGCTGAAAAGATCATTTAATTAATGGTTAATTAATTAAAATTCTCTCTGGATTTTGCAGGCTGTAGATTATGTGAGTTGCATTGGCCGAGTAGCAACGATCTCATCTAGGTAAGATTTCATTATGTCAGGCAGAGGTATGTGGTTTGGAGAAACTACACTGTGCTGGTCTCTCCTTCCTGCTTACTCTGAAGCAAGTTTTATTAAAACTGTGAAGCTCACAAGTAACAGCAGAGTGACCTCAGAGTAGGAGGTTTTGGGTGTAAAGGCCTTTCTCCAACCAAGCTGGTTATAACCATATTAACGACATGTAGTTTTTCGGAACTTGCTCCCTTTAATGTCTGCATTTATGTAATGTCTGCTTTAATGTAATGTCTGCATGAGTGTAACTGCACAAGTTAGTAGAGCTGATAAAATACTCTTCTACATTCTAGAATCCTCTACTCCTGTAGTGACAGGAGTAGAACCATGTAGTGTTTGGTTGGGAATGGGAGCAATAACCAATATTGTCCCATCTCCTTGTAGCTTGGTCCCTTTCCTTCTCATGGTGCCTGTGTTTTGCCTGGGCAACAGCAGTAATTGTTACCAGAACTTCAGCCAGAAGCATGGGTAAGTTCCACGAGTCTCTGAAGCAGTCTGCCTCTACTCCTGTAGTGACAGGAGTAGAACCATGTAGTGTTTGGTTGGGAATGGGAGCAATAACCAATATTGTCCCATCTCCTTGTAGCTTGGTCCCTTTC